ATTTTACAATTTTATTCTGTTGACAGATTTCAAAATAACCTTCAGCATTTCTAGTGATGTCCATCCCTAGATAATGGCTGATTTGACCCAGATTTTTCATCTTAAAATGTTGTTTAGTTGTGCTTTCAAACCACTGCAGCTGTTCTTGTGTATCATACAAAAAAGAAATGTCATCAACAAACAAAATCAAGTAACAACATTTTCCATTGATTATTTTGCTGAACAAGCATGAATCAGCAACACTCTGTTTGAATCCCATCTCCACCAATGTATTGGTCAAACATTGGTTCCAAAGATGCCCAGATTGCCTTAAACCATAAAGACTCTTCTTTAGTTTTAACACAAGGTTTGGATTCTTGTTCACAAATCCAGGTATTTGTTTCATATACAGAGTTTCATCCAAATCTGCATTTAGATATGCTGTAGCAAAGTCAAAGTGCTGTACTTTCATACCATCAATACCTGCCTTAGTCAAGGCTACATTTAAAGTGTGACTCTTTATTGTGGGTGCAAAACTTTGGTCGAAATCGTCCCCAAACACTTGGCTGTACCCTAGTGCGACCACTCTGGCCTTCCTTTGGGGTTGCCCACCTTGTACCGGTTTCACCTTGTACACCCATCTACAACCTATGAGTTTCTTGCCTTCTGGCAACTCAGTCAGTTCAAACACATTGTTAGAACACAAGGAATCATACTCAGTTTGCATAGCCTCCAACCAGGCTTTTTTCTCCCCTTCAGGCATTTTAGTAACATCATGATAGTTATTAGGTTCTTTGACACAAACCATATTCACCACTTGGGTTTCAAAACCATACCTCTCTGGAGGTCTACCTTTGTTACTTCTTTCAGATCTCCTAGGAGTACTGGTTTCAACCTTTACATCACTTGTACCCAGGGATTGTGATTGGGAAGTACTGGGTCCAGGATCCACAGAATCAGATTCAGGTTGTGGATCACCTGTCAAAGGCAACACTGTTTGTTCAGGCAGTGAGTTTGCATGAATAGAATGCCAGTTCTTTCCTTCTGTGAAATTGGCTGACCTGCTGAAACTCACTTGGTTATGGTTATTTACAAATCTATAAGCCTTCATACCAGACTGACATCCTAAGAAGGTTAACAGTTTTGACCTATGACCACCTTTTCTGCGCTGAGTCAAAGGTATGTTCACCCACGCTTGAGAACCAAATACACGTAAGAAATCCAGTTTAGGCATTTTTCCATAAAGCATGGCATAAGGAATATTATCAGTCACCCTAGTCCACACTCTATTTGATACATGAGCAGCATACTTCAATGCTTCAGCCCAATAGCTTTTTGGCAGGTTTGCATCAGCAAGCATGGCATACATTATTGTTTGCAAAGTAGAAATTCTGCGTTCTATAACCCCATTTTCCGCTGGAGAACAAACATTGGCTACACGATGCTTCACCCCTAAACTTTTTAACCATTGCTGCATTTTGTTAGACATGAACTCAGACCCCATGTCTGTTTGCAAAGCTTTAAGATCACCCAACTGATTTTTCACTCTTTTGTACCAGTACCTCAGCGTTTCAAAAACATCAGATTTGTGTTTAAGTATGTAAACCCAAACAAATTTTGAATAATCATCCTGCAAAGCTAACGCAAATTTGTTATTTGATAAACTTGGTGGAAATGGGCCTAGAATATCCGCATGAATTAACTGTAATGGGTAAGTGGATTCCCTCTCACTCCTCTGAGCAACTGGAAAAGCATGGCTTTTTACTTGCTTACAGACCCCACAGTCCAGGAACGTTTTACAAGGTTTTACACTCTCATTCCCTGTCAAAGCAAGAGTTTTACTGAGAACACCAAAAGATATATGACCCATTCTGCGGTGGTACAAATGAACGCATTCATTGTGAGGGTTGACGTTCCCTGTCACCACAGCCGAAGCTGTAATCTGAGAACTCTCAAGCAGATATACTCCATTCACCAGGTTTGCTTTCGCAAGCTCCCTCCCCCCTTTCTTTATAGCACAGCAGTCTTTTGTGAAAACTACATCAAAGTTAGCTTTGGTTATTTCTCGCACGCTTAGGAGATTGGACTCCAGTTTAGGGACAACCAGAACGTTGTTGAAGGTGTGATTTATCCCAGGCAGCGTGAGATCTCCGGCACAGGATACATCGACAGCATGTCCATCTGCTAGGCTGACATGATTTAGTGGCGATTCCTGCACATTGGTCAGCAAATCAGGACTTTTCACCAGATGTATTGAAGCTCCACTATCAATTATAAACGCACTTTCCACTTTCTGTGTTGTAACCAGAGATGCGGCTGGTCTGCTGGTCTGAAAATTACAATGACTGCCAGCCGTATTTCTCCTAATAGACGGGCAGTTTTTCTTTAAATGATTTTTTGACCCACAAGAATAACATTTCTTTACACGCAGAGCAGTGGCTGGTAACCCCGGCTCAGATTTCACAGGTCTGTTCTCTCTGGGAGCCTCCCCGGCACTTGTACATTCCACAGGCCGTTGCTTGGCAACCAAGGCCGGTTTATGCCGTTCCTCCCATTCTATCGCCCGACCAAGAACGTGGTTGAAGGAAAGCTGATTCGGATCCATTCCTTCTAGAGAAGCAATTAAGGTGTCGAAGGAGGGTTGCAGGGAACTAATTAACAAATAACATTTGTCTTGTTGAGATATAGTCTTCCCCCTCCCTTCGAGCATTTGAAAAAGTTCAGTCAGTTTATTTACATGGTCTCTTACCGACTCATTTGGTGCTTGAACCTTCCGGTAAAGACGACGCATCAAAGTCATTATAGTCCCAGCTGAAGTTTGGACATAAACTGTCCGCAGTGCTTGCCAAGCCTCCCGTGCCGTTAAAGCTGATGTTATGTGCAGAAGCTGATCATCTGCTACCGACAGGACGATGCAAGCCAAGGCACGGTCTGCTTTCGGCTGGTCCCCTGCTGGGATTGGGTCAGGTGGGTCATCAACATAAATCCAAATTCCTTCTCTGATGAGATAGTGTTTCATTTTGAAAGCCCAAACGTCGTAGTTGGACGAAGTTAATTTATCCATCACTTGGTAAGACTGTTGTTGAGCCATAATTCACTCCCGGCTCCACAAAGCTCACAAGCAGGAAAAAAGCTGTCCGCGCTCCCGGCGTGGCTCTTGCTGCACACAGGCAGTTCAGGCAGGCTACTCCCCCACTCCTGGAGAATGCGATAACCTCTCGCCCACAGACCTGGTCTCGCAGCTGCACACTCCATCGTTCAGCACGGCTCACCGAAGCTCTGGTACTTTTCCAAGCTGGTCTCTCCCAGGCTGAGTTGAGTCCTCACTAGGGCTGGCTCTCAGACATTCCACGGGCACCCCGCTAGGCTGGTCAGGGACCCCGTAAGGCTGGGCCCATAACCCTGTTGCGCAGAGCGTGTGTAGTGGTCCACAGACCAGTCTAAGCCAAGACAGCACCTTAGCAGACTTTCCAGCCTCCCAGCTCTTACCAGTTCTTTTCTGTTCTGCCCCTCTATAGTAACCACACTGCACAGTCCAGTGGTACACTATATACAAGGGTTTATTCACAGAATACACAGACAAAATGCTTCGCCAGACGCTTGTTACCTCCGAAGAGAACGTACATGGCTTCTGTACAGACTTATATACACAGTAGCACCAATCAGCAACAAGCTGAGTCATGATGACTGCACACTGTCCAGTGCCAGCCATAACCGGTTAGAACAGGCTTATCAGTCCACCTGCTGACATGTAGCTGTCACTGAACTGTCAGTTAGATCCTAATGATCTTCCTGCTATCTGATTAACCCCCCCCCCAAATTGGAAAGTCTACACCCTTGGATGGATGGATAGATAGATAGATGGAAAGTCTACACCCTTGGATGGATGGATAGATAGATAGATAGATCCTCAGTGCCCATTCAGCACCCTGTCCAAGTCCGAGATACCGATCATATTTACAGTGAAACTCCGTCATCTTTGGCACACTGTCAAGTGGATTCGAGGGCAGGGTTGTTATTGAAGGTGGAGTGAGACGCGGCCTACACGGGTGTGTCCTCCGGGCGGCGTGTGACAGTCTACTCAGGAGCGCCGGTTCATAAAGGGCAGCTGCCCTTCCCAAATCTCTAAATGCGTCTGCTGAACTAGCGACAACATACGCGGGGCGTGCGTCAAAGTTTCCTGACTCTCAAGTGCCCCCGGGCTCCTCTTTTATTGCAAACCTATAGGAGCAGCAGCCCTTCCCGCCGTTTGCGCACCCTACGTTCAAACCACCGGGTGGGGGTTAGGACAGTCTTGGTCGGCGTCTCGGCACCCACCCTCCTCCTTATCCGGGGACTGCTTGTATTTGAGAATGCGCCTCCTGCAGAATCTCTCTCTCTCCCCCCCCCCCCCTGCCCTGCCCTGCCCTGCCCATGGCTTTCATTATATCTTCCCTCCTGCCCAGTGGGATGATTCTCTTGTTTTGTGAAAGTGCATGGGGGGATTCTCCTGTTCTCGCCAGGCAAATCAGCTGTTGATCGGGAGGCAGCCAGGAGCTCACCAAGTAGAATTTTTGTTCACAGGACTCCACAGCTTAGAGGGAGCCTTGAGAGCCTTGATTACTACTACAACGATTCCAGCGAAAGGAGAGTAGCCTTCGGCAGGCAGCCCCTGAACATGTCGGCGCCCGGCCTCTCCACGTCGCCCCCGCTCCCCCGGCGGATGTGGCAAGGAGCGGGGCAACGACGACAGCCCTCTCTTTCCTCCCCCCCCCGAGGCGGCAGCGGCAGCGAGGGCTGTCTCCCCCCGCCCCCCCAGACCAGTCTTTGTGGGCCGAAGGAGGCTGTTTCCTAGATAGCCCGTGACTGGTGGGAAGGACAACGCGGAGAGGCGGTGGTTGGAGGGGAGGAGCGGCCGCTTCGTTCCGCGCCGTCAGGCGAAGGGAGGCGGGGAGAGCGGGGGAGCCGCACACAGGCGCCGCCGCCGCCGCCACCACAGCCAGCGGCGGGGATGTGACCACCACTGCCAGCGGCGGGGATGTGGTGCGAGGGCCCGGGCCCTCCCGTTGACCAGGACAGCTGAACAAGCCGAGGCGGGGGGACGGGGCGCGGGAAGATGGCGACGCCCGGGGCGGCGCCGACGACGACTTCTTCCTCTTCCTCGAGGAGGTCGGAGATTCGGCGGGGAGGAGGTGTGAGGCGACGCTGCCAGTGGCTGCTGTACTGGGTGCCGGTCCTGTTCATCTGCAGCATCCTCTGCTGGTCCTACTACGCCTACGTCGCCCAGCTGTGTCTGCGTAAGTCCCCGGGGGAGAGGCAGCGGTAGCTACACGTTTACGTTTGTGTGGTGTGTTGTGTGTGTGGACACGCGCTAATATGGGACAAGGGGAGGCCAGGGAAGAGAAGCGTGGCAGTCCCGGGGAGTTTTTCTCTTGGAGCCCTGCACTTCCCCCTCACCCCGTCCCAGCAGGCTTGGCCCCCCTCACTCAGTCTTTTCTGGCCTGCGCACCCCAATTGGTTTTAGGGACTGAAGATTAAGGCGACGTTAAGGTGTTCTGGTCATTTGGCCAAATAAACAGTTTGCCGGGGGTGTGTGTGTGTGTGTGAGGTTCCCCTTCTCATGCACACACTCGTGCACAAAGATTTGAACTTGTGCTATTTAGCCGTGTTTGTTTATGGGCGAAACGCTGCTGTGTATTTCAAAACACACACACACCAAAGTGTGCAGGAGGAAAAGGAGCTGGAGGCTGTCCTTCGAGTCCTACACTTCCCCCCCTGGCTTGTTCTTTGAACAAGCTTAGCTTTGCCCTCTTTTCTCCTAGTCCTGTTACCTAATATGTGTTGGGGTTGCAGCTGTGGTGTATCCTCGTCCCTTATGTTCTAGATTAGCATAATCGGCCCTGTGTAGTCATGAAAAAGTGTGTGAGCCAAATGCTGTTTGGCTTTCACAGTATTCATTCCTAAAGAGGAAAGGGATGAAGAAATACTTCTGGAAAAAAGACACATAGTACTTTGTTGCCCTTAGCTACTGGACTCAGCCCCATCTGATAGGAATGCTAACCACACATGAGGAAGTGGACACTGCTTGTGAGAGGAGTGTGAACAGTGTGATTGTCGAGATGAGAATTGGCCTTGGAAAAAGAAGATTGTGTATATGTTTACAAAAAGCCACTGGATTTTTTTGTAATCATTTGGTCTCTTAAGGTCAAGATCTTTAGCCGCCCACTGTTACTCAGAGTTGTTAAACGATTTAATGTGGGCGATGAAGGTTCCCGATACCCTTTCTGTTTATGGAGGAAATGGGGATTGTCATCCACATAAATGAATGTGGCTTCGGAATTAATGATGTAGTTAACCCATGCCACCTAATACAGACTAGCAAGGGTGTGATTTTGTGTGTGTTTATATACTTAGGGTTGGGAATTTTGTGGCTTCTGTGCGAAAAAGACCACTCTTACGTTGCCTTGGTTTGGGAGTGGTGACTGCAGCTGCTGCTACTACTGCTGCAGGTTGTTTACATGCTTAGTATTTCCTTGGCTGAATGGTAGACTCTCCGTTTTCCCACACAGAGCAGGGTAATTCATATTAAAATTCTCTGTAAAGAAGAATAGATTTAAATAATGCACAATTAGTTTGATTTCTCTGAGGATGGACATTTGGTTGCTCTGGCTCATTGAATGAGCAGGGGTGGCCACTGTCTACTTGGATGGGAGACCCCCAAAGAAGACCAGGGTTGCTATGCAGCTCTGTGCTAAGCAATCTAAATATGTAATGAACAGACTGGCATCAAAGACGCTAGATATATTCAGTCATCATGCCAGTATATTATTAATCTCAAAGTGAAACTGTAAATGACATCATTGTAACAGTAAATATAATTAATAAACATTCATGAAGTAATTATGATTATAAGAATGCATGAAGTTATTTTGATCGTTGTAAAGTGATTGCTGACGAGAACCTCCGGATTCAGTTCCGTTTCGTCTCTTCGTCTGAACAAACCTTCAATAAGGGTTTCGAACAGTCCTATTATTTTCCTAGCCACGATTTCTGTCTGTCATGCAAACATCTTCAAGTAGTGTTAATCAGTAATTCATCTTCCATATGCATGTTACGTCGGGCGTTCTACAAATCAACTGAGAGGCCCGACGTAACGTGCATATTGAAGATGAATTACTGATTAACTTAATCCGGAAGTTCTCGTCAGCAATCACTTTATAACGATCAAAATAACGTCATGTATTCTTATAATCACAATCACTTCATGAATGTTTATTAATTGTATTTACTGTTACAATGATGTCATTTACAGTTTCACTTTGAGATTTCATGACATGATGATTGAATATATCTAGCGTCTTTGATGCCAGTCTGTACATTACATATTTAGCCAGCTTTGGACTGGATTCTCCACTTTAGTCTGTGCTAAGCAATGGCAACTCCCATCCACTTGTCTTTTGCCTGAAACACCCCTGAATGGGTTTGCCATGAGTCAGTTATGACTTGAAGGCATGCTCCACTCTTCTTGTATGGCAGTAAGCTGGTGGGGCCAAATTCCTGTGATTCTTCTGAGTTTATTGTGGATGTTCTTGTTTAATCTCAAGCTGAGCACATGTTGATTAGCAATAATTGGCAGATACAGCACCTAACCTACTTGGCGTTGTAGCACAAATCCTTCTCATCCTTTACCCCAAAATATTGTCATTGTGTTGAGAGGAAGATGTAATTTTAAGAAAGTTCTTTGTATATTCTTTACTCCAGGCAGAATAAAATGAATCCTGCCAGAAAATGCAATCTGGTGCCTTTTGAAAGAAACACCCTGCCTCTCTGTATTGTCAGAGCCTTTTAAAAATGTATTCCTATGGCAGAGCATACTCTTGAGACATGCTCTGCCTTTTGTAAGGTAAATGATATCTCTTGGGTTAATTAAGTGTTAACATGTGATGAATCTAAGTCCCAGCAATGGTGTTGAAAGATCTCCGTATGCATTACTGGTTTAGTAGTGTGGTAGTACATGAAATTAAGCAAACTCCAGAGCACAACAGAAGATCGGAGGGCCTGGCGTGATGTGGTCCATGGGGTCGCGAAGGGTCAGACTCGACTGTGCGACTGAACAACAATAACAGTGTGGTAGTAAACCTTATCTACAGGACTATAAGCAACAACTAAGCAACACACACATACTATCCATTTAAAACTTTACTCTGCAGGTCTAGAAAGTCAGCTTGAATTCAAGATTGTGTGTTTGTATGTGTGCATATACATAAATCCAGTGCAGTATCATCATTATGGTCTTGGACTAGCCTAAGAGTATGTGACTGGCACATCTCAGGGAGTTTGAATTAAAAATGGATCTCCTTGGAGGAAAATAGAACAAAAACATGTTCATTACAATTTCCCTATGTAGACCATTGCTGACCAATCAGTCCATCAACCTATTTTAAATCCTGGCCAACCAGGTGCATCTAGAATGAGCACTAAAGAAGGCATGAAGGTAATATCCCTCCTTTTTGAGCCTAGCATCTGATATTGAGGTATAGTGTTCCTGAATTTAAAGGTTCCATTTAGCTATTGGCCAGGAGGCAACAGCAAGCTTTGGTTGTAGGTGATGACCATACATTTCATTCTGGCTACCAGTAGAAGAAAGCTTTTAATATACTCCACAGAACGAATACATTTTTAAAAGCTACTGGCAACATGGAGAGCCAAAGGCACCAGATTGCATTTTATGGCAGGATACAACACCAATATCATGGGTTGAGGGGGAGGGTTGCAATAAATATGTGTGCCTTTCTCTCATTTAAAACCCTCTCATCAGGCAGCAATAGGATTATCCATTTCTAGCTCTATCACTGTTTTGCCCTTTTAAATCTATTTTAGCACATATATATCTTTTACGTCAAGCTCAGATAATGTGCTGTCGTACATTCTCTGGAAAAAAGTTTTCTTTCACCATGTGGAAGAAAGTCCAGGCAGCCCGAAGCTTCTTTACATTTGAGGTTTTATTTGTACCACAAAAAGTACGTGTTGTATAATACTTGAACTACTTATAAAAATTGTGCATATACTATTAAAAGGGCCAATATTATGCTTGCTTTAAATTTTTGCCTGAAATAATTTATTAAGAGTTAAGGGGAAGTATAGACTTTCCACCTGGCAGACATAGTTTAATGGCAAGAATTCAGACATTAGAGTCACCTTTTTTTCATATAGTTTTTGGGGGTTGGATTTTTGGGTTTTGTTTTCCCCCCCTCTTTTTGGCATGCAGAAGGTCCCCAGGATCAGATACTGTTATCTCCAGTACAAGAATTTTGGATAATGGGGCTGAGAATAATCTGTCATTAAAGCCCTCAGATCTACCTGCTTGAATTCTGGACTAGATGCACCAATAGTATGCATAAGACTATATTCAAGGCAGCTATCTTAGTTACGTGGGAGTAAGCCCTATTGAACTCAATGGTACTTAGTTTGAGAAAATCTGCACAGAATCATATTGCACAGAACGTCCCTGGCCATTGGATTTGGGAAAAACTTATACTAGGAAATCAGCAGGAGATCTGATTTCAGGTTTTAAAAAGAACAGCTCTGCACAAAAAGCAGCCACAAAATTCAGGTGCTTTCTAATAGAGTTGCTGGATGAGAAACACTGGGAGATTTCTGGGATCAATACACATTCCCTAGATTTAGGTCTCTCTCTGCTCCATCTCTGTGGCACTGCCTGTTGCTGCTGCTCCTGGATAAGCTCCAGGTTTAAGTTGGTGATAAAATGCCTCATCTCGCCCCAAGGTAATTTACAGCATACATCCCGGCTGTCCACCATGTGTCTCCTCTTCCTGGATGTGCCATACACCTAATTTGAAATGCTGTGGGGAAAAACAGTTTTCAGGTTTTCTTGCAAGTAGGAGATTTGGTGAATATTCAGGTACACACAATAGGGTGTTCGTACCTGCAGGAACAACTGTACTCTATTGAGTGGAAAGTTCTTTGAGAAGCTCCTTTAAGTGGTTTCTAAACTGCAGACAGAAGGTTGAGCATTCCCATGGAACAGAGAACTCGATGAATGTCTTTCAGCTGGAATTCCTTAAACCTGTTGCAACCACAAATAAGGCCCTGTCTCCTCCTACTTCCAAATGTGGGGTGCCTGGAGAAAGGCTTCTGTTAATGGTTTTAACTAATGGGTACATTTATGTAGGAGGGAAGTCTTTCAAATACCTTGGTCCCAGTCATTTAGTGTTTTTAAAAATCAGTACCAGCACTGTTAAGAAACAAACTGAAACCAGAGATCTTTCAGCATATT